CCAGATAATGAATCGGAGATAGAATTGCAGACAGGCAGAGATAGAGACGGACAATTGAGTCAAGCGCGACAAAGTGCGTGAATCGTTCGGTGTGAATTATAGCGTGTGTTTAAGTTAAACTGATTGTGGAATTAAGTGTATTGCAAAGTTGTATTGAGAAAGAATAAACTGGTTTTATTTAAGAAAGAACTTGTATCGCTGAAGTTTTTCGGAAGGAATTTTTACGGGAAAATAATAAATGACCAGAGACCTAACAATACATTAAACATATACATCACTACTACTAGTTTTATAGTATAACGGATTATTATTATTATTATAAAATGACAGATCTTTATCATATGTAGGAAAAATTGTGCTAAAATAATTTAGCATTATAATTTGATTTGGTGCAAAGTTACATCATGGGTTATCTGTGATCTGTTCACCATGGGAAATCGAATTCCTGATTTTAACGTTGTTAGGAGCACTTACCGCTGGCTCATTGGGGGACTAAGATTTGTATGATATAATAACTGCATATATGTATACACGAAAGAAAGGGATTCAAAAGGCAAATACTTTAGCACTGGCCTAACAAATTTTAGCAAAACAAAGCGTTTAAGGTTTATCAAATGATGATATTTTTTATTACATAAGTTATTTAATTTTTACATTTTTTTAAACTAAAGAACTCTAATTAAAAAATAAGCAATAATTTTTCAATTTATAGCTATCCTGTCAACAACGGGGATGAAGAGAGAAATTAAAGAACACATATATATATATACGCCACCTTGTCAATAAGCCTTGCCTTGTTCATGTTTATCGGGGTTGGAGTTAATTATAGGTTTCTACCTGAGACTGAGCTAGAAATCGTAGAACCAGAAGATAAAGGTTGCAGCAAATATGTTAAGACAAGTAGCTAGCGCTGTATTAACGTATAAAAATTTATATAAAGGGGTACCATTACAACTTTTAAAGAGACATGGACATGCGTAAGTAAACTATATTTTGAACTTGAAGATAAGTTGTAAGTTGTAGTACTTTCTAGATGATTGGCAATAGCAGCAGACGGAGTAGTCCTTGTACTGAATTATTTATATTATTTGCTAAAAAAAATATTAGTAGTTATTCAGTATCAGTACTACTAGCGTTGTATGCCTGTTTGTAAATTATAAGAAAGACCCTACTTAAAAAACAAACAAATCAGTATATACTTATTAATTTTATTATCTTTATAACAAAGCATCTGCTGCATCGAAATGCGTCTTTAATACTTCATTTTTTAGATTAATCTGTTTTGTATACTTTTATAACCAACATTAGTATAACTTAAGTAGGAACATTTTATGGTCATCTCAGTATAAAATTCATAGCATTCAAAGGTGTCAAATGTGAAAAGCAATTCTTTGCTTTATAAAAGTTTATCAAAAACTAGCTGGAGTACCTGTCCAATGGACAGGTGAAGTGAAATTTACAAACTTGTTTGTATTTGTAACAAAGGATAGGAAATTGTGTTTTTTTTCTTCTTAATAAACATTTAAAATGCAATAAAAATAAATAAAGGTGCCAATAATGAAAAGAGAGAGAGACACTGTTTTCAGGAATTCTATCAATATGAAATCAAATGGGGGATCACCCCTCCCCTTATGACTTTCCCCATGTCATCCTATATCACTGTGTCAAGTTTGGTGCTGATTGATCAAGGAATATGGAAGCATACAAGGAACAGATGGCTGAAAGGTGTGAACAAACAGACACATACTTTGCTTTATATATTAGATTGGTAAAAAAATGAAATAATAATTTGCTCATTGCTTCATGTATTTTCTACCTAAGCTCAAGAGAAACTGTAAATAGCTAAAAGGAAAAGGGCTTTTTGTGAACTTGTTAAGAATTGGTTGAGTAGTCTAACATAGGATTGCAGTTTAACTCCTGAGAATAATTTTACACTTCTGCCATGTTAGTTCTCCTATTGCAACTCAGAATATGTGGTTGAGTTTTTAAAAGCATTACAATATTAATAAATTCAAACAACTTTTTATAACAGCTAAACACTGATTGATAAGAAGTTTGATTTTCTTAACCATGGGCTTGAACAGATCTGGTAAAATACCCAGAAATGTAGATAATTGATGTTTATGGAGATAATCTTAATACATAGTGATGTTTAGCATAGGTTTTTTCAATTATTTTTATGTCAATGTTCATAGAGGATAAACTGAACAAATAGTATTTGAAGATGTTCATTTCATTTTTCAAAAAATAAATAACTTAAAACTGTAATCAATATTAAGATTACTGCAAGAGTCATTGTCTTCTTGAACCCTTTCCTTTTGTAAAAAATAATCCTAGGTCCAGTTTTATAAATACTGTAAAAGCATACAAATTAATATATAAATTTATGCATAATTCATATATACATGACATACAAACAAGGGACTATTTAATCCTTCAATCCGTATAAAACCACCGTTGAGGAAAAGTAAAAACTTTTAAGCTATTCGTTATTTTTTGGATAATTATTGATTCTCATTTTAAGTTCTTCTATATTTCCAGCCTTCACTAATACTGATAGCAACTAATTTCATAAGTAAATCACCATTTTAGAAAAAAGAAAACTTTTCTATGTAATCCACCCTATATTTTTCTGAATCTTAAATGTGTTCATTTGATCCATTGTCTTCAAAAGCAAGCAGAAAAAAATCAGAGGCCTTTATCCTACTGATACCCCAGATAAATTTATAAGCTTCTATAAGATCACGACATACCCTTGTTTTTTTAAAGAAAATATAAATTAAAAGAGCTTAACGTATCCCTGTGCAATAACCCATCCATACCTGGAATCGTCCTAGTAGCCCTTCTCTGAACCATTTTCAAAGGAGATTATAACTGTAAACAGTATTGAAATGAGGCTTAACCATGGATTTGTATAAAAAAGACAATTACCTCTTTTGACTTGTAATCCAGAGACTATACTGAACTGAATTTTAGGAAGAAGTGACTTCTTCCTACATCTTAACACAAAGAGAAATGATGTGAAAGAATACAAAAATGAGTCAATAATTATGGAACTTTTTGAAGGAATAAATTGATCTTGTTTCCTTTTTCTTTGTATTACATGAAAAAATTGAAACAAGCATTAATTTTATTTATTTTTCCAATAAGTCATGTTAAGTAGTGTGTAACACGATAGATAATAAGTACCATCATCATCGTTATTTCTTATCTTAGAACTTGATTTCAGAGAGTGGCCCTGTAACCACATTTGCAACAACATGAACCATAGAGAAAGTAATTTTATGATTAATTACATTTCGAGTTACTTTTGCCACTTTTATTAATCACCCTTTGTTTTTACACATAGGTACTTATTGTTTTATCATTCTTCTCTGATTGCTGTCAGCTTGGCTATTTTAATAATTGTCTAAAATGTGTAGTACACTAATTGTTTTTTATCAGTCTGTTTCAAATTTCAAACATATTAATGACTATTTGATAAATTGTTATTGAAAGAATTGTCAAGAATGTGAAAGACTATCCTTTAATTAACCATTCATGCTGACAGTCACAAGCTACAAATTGACCACCTGCACAAACGTCTACAGTTGTAACATGTTTGAGTTGTTTTGTACTCTTCCACATTGTGCATAGGATAGGCACTTGTGCAATGAGAAAAATTTAAATAAAAAACATGAATTAGAAAATCAATATTGCATATAGTTTAAACATACCTTCATAATTTAGGTGCTGGTAAGTTAATCCATGCTGCATAGTTGTTATAACCAGATTTTCCAACAAGTGTTGGTTTGATTCAAATACCATTTTCAACATCTAAGATGGCTGTTCAAAATTAAATCTATGTAGTGCCCATACATCATTACAAATTTTGAAAGGAAAGTGTTTTGCTTTCCTGTTGTGATAGGACAAAAACTCTTAAGGCAAAGAAGTTTGCCTAATTTTCCTTCAGTGTGGATTCTGTAGTCAATACATCTATCATTTGTTACTAGAGATGGAAAACTGCATCAGTGGCTTGAGAAACTTATTCTCCGCTATGCCAAGATAATTATTTTCAGTCACACTATTTAATGGGTTCACATCTTTGTTAGATTTGTGATCCAGATGTATCATCTAGCACTTAATAAAATTAAGTCACTTGTCATATATTTGTCTAACAAACTAACTGAACCAAATTATTCTACATTACCTCAACATCCTAAATGAAGCTAGAAATACCCAAGAGTTTACGTCATCTACGGAATTTTCTAATTTATTGGTTATGCTATTTTATAAACGTTATTAATGTAAATAAACAAAAACTCAAGCAATGACCATTGAGGCATTCCACTAGTAACAAGAGTCCAGTTTGACTAGATTCCATTAATAACAATTTTTTGCTTTCAATTATCCAACCATCCTTTAGTCCAGTCTTTTTAGCTAATTTTCTTTGTGGCACCTTATCAAAAGCTCTGAAAGTCTGAGTATCCTAAGTCTGCACTCTTTCCATTATCCAGATGACATGTAACATTGTCAGAAAAAGTGCAACACATTAGTAATAAAAATTTGATTTTCTTCTCTAGTGAATCCATATTGATCTTCTTTATAATTCATGATGCTGGAAAAACATAAAAAACATTTTTGAATAAAAACCCTATGACCCGAGCGCTTTTGAAAAGTGTACCTTTCTTCTTCAAGGCTAAACTGAAGAAAGGTCCACCTTTCGAAAGTGCTCGGGTTATAGGGTTTTTATTCAGATCTTCTTTATAATATATTTTACTAGGTGATTTTGTGAAGCTTCTTTATCAGACTCTCCAGCTTGAAAGCTCAATATAATGCTAAAAACCAGAGTTTGATACAGCATAGATAGTCCACTTAACACTAAAAACAAAATAGTACTAGAATTTCCAGGGCAACTTTTATCACCTCCCTTTAAAAATGGGAGTAGTATTAACAACTTTCCAATCCTCTATGTGATTCAGGTTCATTCTAATATTTTGCAAATAATACTTAATACTGGATTATTGTTTACATCTCCTATTGTAAAAACAAGTGAAAAAAAAGAAAATAAATAAATATATATATATATTAAAGCTCAGCCACTATATTGTCTTCAACAAAAATCCTGCCACCAGCATCAAATTAGGCTTAAATCACTACTTTAACAAGCTTATTTGTATTTATTAACTTATAGTAATTTACAGTATTAAAATGAAATACTTCATATTTGATTTTAGGTATTTATAGTATTATCTAAATTAATATTTAACACTAAATTTCTTAAATAGATGTAACATTTTGGTCAAATGTGATAGGTATGGTACATGAAGCTTTACATCTGACAATTTTGCTTTGATGCTTAATAATTTTGCTAAGCAGGCTCAACCTTGTCAAGTGTTCTAGAGGAAAGGGCCAAACACTGCTAACAGCAAGGATATCCAACTGATGACCTTGGACAAAGTGATCATAGAAGCTTTTTTGTAGTTTGACTGTTACTCATACTTAAGAATATTTATTATTAATTGTAGTTATTGTTGTAGAATTTTCAGCAGCTCTTCTGGCAGTAATTATATAATTCTACTTACCTTTAAAATAATTTAAAAAATCTTTGCTGTTAGTTGTATCATTATCGGCCAACATTTTTTCATAAGCTCTTTTTGCTTTTCTAATTTCATTTTTAATCTGATCTCTAGCTTTTCTTAGTCCTAGTCAGCTGCATGGGTGCTACTATAGCATGCAGTCTACCACAGTATCCGTAGTCTACCGGGATTTTTACACTATAGCGTGTGGTATACCGAGACTTTTACACTATAAACAAAGCATATATGTTGAATAATAGCAGCCTACCTGGGATATTTACACTGACCACATGCTATAGTAGCACCAAGCTGTTTCAATTACACCTTGATCACATTTGCTGGAAAGTGCTAAGAAAAGATATAGATGATTTATTTGTGACATTTGTAAATGATATACGAAGTGTATATCGTTAAAAGATTTAAATGTAAATCATTTGTTAAGGATGTGGTACGAAGTGTATGTCATTAAAAATAATTATGTAGCACAATTTTGTGTTGTTTGTTTTTATCATAATTATGATAATTAATAAATTATTTAGCAGTGTAAATATCCCAGGTAGACTGCTATTATTCATCATTAATAAATTATTTAGCAGTGTAAATATCCCAGGTGCAATCTTATTATTCTGTGGAATTCTAGTTGTAAACACTGTAGGATATACATAAGCTGATAAATTCCACATTGCCACATCATGTTCTTGGTGTAAGGGGTCATTTTACATTCTGTGAATCTAGGTTTTCTTTACTCAGGCTTTCTGCATCCATGGTTGTTAGAAGCTCTGGTATTAGTTTTGTTTGTAATTTAAGTTTGCTTTTCAACTGATTAACTTCTACTCCATAAATGAATCATTACATGAACAACAACAAAATATATATATATATATATACATACAGAAGTGTACATCATTCAGGAACAGTGAGACAGTCAAGATTTAAACAAAAGAATGTGGTATTATTTTGGTTGACTGCTTAGTACCATATTATGTTGTTCTGAAATACTAGTTGTGTGATAAAAGAAAATTCAGGTAGCAGGGTAGAGGGAATAAGAAGAGTCTGGCTGACTATGAGAGGGGGATAATGAATGACTGATTGACTGGAAATATCTCGAAAATGATTAGGGCAATAAAACAAGCAAGAATAGTCTCTAAACCATTGGTTCTTGACCTATTGTCCACAGACTTCCTTCAGATGGTCTGTGGAAAGGTTGCATAGTTATGAAAAATAAGTGGCAGCATAGTGTAAAGATCCCATTGTAGTCTGCAGAAAAAAAGACATTCAGGAGGTTCACAAATCAAACAGTGTGAAAACCCACTGAGCTAAACTGTTTTGATTTAATTGGAAAAGTATGAAAGATGGGCAAGGTATCAATATCAGTATATAAAACAATAAATCTTGTGTATTATGTCTTCAGGTTATAAGGGTATCACATAGGTCATTGAAGCACCATGGTCACTCGAATTAATTCCTCGTTATGTTTGCCTGAACCTTTGTCAGTTTTTATGTATTTTATTGAAATGTGTTTGGTAAAGAATTTGAAGTCAGTATTGTGATTGTCTAATAGTGATGGTATGATTGTTAGAATTACGAGTATGTGGCTTTATGTCAAATACTTTAAGCTTAGTAAGTATGATATTTTTGCTAAAAATCTTATGGATTTTTATTTTGGGGTTGGGGATAATCACAACAATATTTTCTGCATATCATTTAATTGGGATGAAAATAACAGCACCTTTTGTGTTTTAGTGTTTTCCAGAATGCACTGCACAATGTACAAATAATCCATGTATAGTCTTTAGTTTAAAGGATATGTGAGACTCTCTTAGTTCAGTCCTCTCATCAATCCAAAACATTATACTTGTTTACCATTTTTGAATGTAGCTTTTGCCTGCTCTTTAGGTAATCTGGCTTTTCAGTTTTAAAAACCTTCATCTTATGCTGCCTAGAAATTCAAGTAAACAACAAATAAATCTGCCATTTGAAGCCATTCACTATTTTAAGTCTTTGATGCTTTAATATATTGTACAGTTTTAGATGGAGCTGTTATTGTTTTTTGCCATCAGCTGAAACTGTCTTTAGACACCATTTACCATTATTGGTTTCATCAAAGATCAGTGATTATGGCTATTAATGCATCAACACACTTATAAATGCTGTAGGTAGGTTTGTAACTATTATGAAGAACAAAAATAGCTTTAACCTAGCAATCTCCAAACAGCTTCCAGGCAAGCTGCATTGTACGAGTTGAAACAAACACCTGATGGGTTGAGGAATATTAAAGAACAAGATTTGGGTTGTTTTAAAACAAATTAACAAGTTCAACTTTACCTATAGGCATTGGAACCACAGTTGATTGTTTTGTGATGTGATAGGAAATTTTACTTACCCATTTGGCATTGTAAGCACATTCATGTTTTAATCTTCATAAATCCTGGTGAGAATCACTCCAACTTTAAATAAGAAGTATTTTGGGATGTTTTTCTTATAACTTAATATAATGAGTTTGATTTGTTTTAAGGTTTGCCATTAAACAAATTTTCAGTGATGCATTATGATCATACCTACAATGTGTGGTAACAAATAACCATGAGATAAAATTCTGAAACTAAACATTATTGATCTGATTTTTATATTAGAAAGTTAAATATTTACTCAATAAATGGTCTGATATTACTTTTCAAATTCATATATAGATGGGTGTATCGAAGTCCTCCAGTTGCTGCTCCAAAGTCACATTTAATTGCGAGTGAAATTGTTGGAGGATTTATGTGGTGGTGGATCCTTTGGCACCTTTGGCATGAATATGAACATATAACTGTAAGTGGTATTAATTCTCTTCATTCATATTTTTTTTTATAGAAAGAAAGATGGTCTAATAGTTAAATGTAAGCTAGTAACTTACCTATGAAAAATTACAGGTAATGGCCACTAAGCAAAATGACCATTTACATGTTTCTTTCAATCTTCAAGTAAATCTATGCAGCCAATCCTGAGAGCCTCCCACAATATTTTGGTTATTCCCTCAAAACTGCTTTTTTCTTTGTTTAAACACTGTGGGGTCAAAAGCCCACACAGAAAATTTCATTTCTTATTTAAAAAAAAATGTAGGAATTAGAAAAATGTATATATATTTTAAATCTATATTTTTGTACAAAGTGTCAACTGTTTGATGTTACTTAGCATTTGTATGCCATTTACATTAGCTAATGTTTATGATTGATGAGCATGTATATGTGTATATATATATATATATATATATATATATATATATATACATACTATAGTATACTACTCGTAGT